TTATTATAATATACTTTAAAATTCAATTTTCGATATATTTCTTTTTATTATTAATTATCTTTTATCCCAAATATGACTAGGGGAAGAAATCTGACAAAGAGATTGTTAAAATTTTTTAGGATTTTATATATATATATATATATATATATATATATATATATATATAAAGTATAAAATAATATTTAAGTTTTAATTGTCTAAATAAAGAAATAACATATTTTTTTCTTTAATTTAAATAATAATAATAAAAATCTCTAGTACCATTTGAACATGATATTTTCTTTTTTTCTATTATTACTTTATTCATCATCTTTTATTTATAAATTTTATCGTTTTTTTATGAGATCATCCATTCATTTAGTTTTATTATCTCATTCATTTTTTCTTTATAATTACATGTAAATAATTTATTTTTCTTAATATGATATTTCTTCTCGTCAACTTCTTTTCTTGTACAATAAGAGTGTTCCATTTAACTCATTACATGGTAGAAATTTCTTTAAATTCTTACTTTGGACTTACTTTTTTGATCTAATTCTATTAATTTTTAATCCATAAAATGTAACATAGAGAATATCTTTTCTTCTAGGAGTACCTTTCTTGTTTTTCTTTGTTTCATTGTCTTACAACACAAGTAAATTTATTTAGGTAGATTTAAACTTATTCACCTTTTGTAATTATTTTAACTCATCCTAAAGTTTTATGTATTTCATGACTATGATTTTCAAGTTCTTAGACCTTTTACTCAAGACTTCATCTTTGGCTTTTCAGAGCTCTTCGGTCTTCTCCTTTTCAAGGCACATCTGTTGTAGTATATTCTGCATCTGAAGCAATTCTTTATCATGTTTGTATGCAAGTATTTCACAAACGATTTTCATCATAATCTGGGAATCTTCTTGGAATCTTGTTTTTTTGATCCAGTTACTTCATATTTCTTTTTAAACTAATCCCAGATTATGATGAGAATCGTTTGTGAAATACTTGCATACAAACATGATTTTGCTTTTGTTTGTTTTTTTTTAATTTTGATTTAGGTCATGATGAGATTTCTAGACAACAGTTTAATGATGTAGTCTTCTTCTATAACTTCACATAAATTTAGTCATTGAAAATATGATTACCTTCTCACATTTTATAGGTTGTAACTTCATTATTGAAAAGTTGAATAACAATTTGTGATAAACTTCTTCATCCTTTCATTTTACAGGTTTAGTAAGAACAAAACTATAATACCATTGTTAGAAATTTATAGGATTCTTGTATATATGTATTTTTTATATAATGGAACTTTCTCTCACTTTGTGGATATTTTATTCATATATCTTATGTATATAAGATGAAAATATATTAAAATATCAAATATTAACAATATCTCAGTTTTAATTATTTAAATCAAAATAATAACGTAATATTTTTTATTATTATTTTAAACCATAATAAAAATATGTTAATATCTAATTGATTTAAACCACAATAAAAATATGTTAATATCTAATTGAAATGAGAAGATAATAAAATATTTTCAAAATTCTTACTCACTCTCTATAATATTTTATTCTTGTAAGAAAGAAGTCTTATAAGTAAAGAAGAAGTCTAGAGTCTTTTATATATATATATATATATATATATATATATATATATATATATATATATATATATATATATATTTATATATATATAATAAAAATTTATATAAATTGAGTAAAAAAATAACAAACAAAAATAAATTATAATTATATTAAGTATTTTGTTGTGCATAGAATGACAAATAATATTATTATGATTTATTTATTTTATATGAATTAGACAGTGGTGGATGTTAATATTTCAAGGTGGTCACGATTTCTTTAAAAATTTTAAAATTTTAAATTATTTATATATTTATAATTTTAATTTTCTAAAATTTTTATATTTTTTTTACATTTTATATTTTATTTATTTATTATATATTATTTTGCTCTTAAAATTATTGATAAATATTCATCACTAAAATAGATAATATTATTATATAAGATAGATAATGGTTAAATGATGAAATCGTTCTTTAATTAAAATTACATATAACTTTTAAAATGTAACTTTCGTTTTAACCTTTTAATTTTTTACAATTATATTTTAAATTTTAACTTAAATATATAAAATTAATTTTATTTCTTAAAATTAAAAATTATATAAGAATTTAAATTCTTTTTGAATTATTTTAATAAAAATAATAATTTAGTTTTTACATCTTAATTAATTATATTCTAGTATTTTCATGTGTGTATATAGGATAAATTTCATATAACTAAATTTTAAAATAAGAATTTTATATATATATATATATATATATATATATATATATATATATATATATATATATTTCACACGCATATATAATGAAATACACGTTTTCAGATAATATAAAACGTATCACATCCAACCACAAAGATTTTGGACTATGTGATTATGGAAACACATTTTGGAGGAGTATTTCTTTTGCAATTTTTTTTAATACTTACCAAATCTTTGTTTTGAACAAAATAATTGTTAAGATAGGATTAGGTATTAAGGTGGGTTTCCCTTTTTTGCACAAATGTTTTCTTATAAAAATTTGTTCACGTTTTTAAAATGAATGGATTAAATTTCGTAATTTTTTATTTTTAAAATAAAATGTTGTATTAATTTATTAGGAAATGATAATATTATAATTTTTAATATACTATAAAGTCATTTGACTTTTTATTTTTTAGTTTTTATTGAAGATACACTAGATAATAACAATTTCTCACAGGTCCACATGATAGACAAAAAAGCACATGAGTCCGTGATGCTCGCTGGTGACACCTCGGTTTTGTTTGTCCTTTAGTTCCCTGCACTCATGCTATATATATAATTTGAACGCAGGTGGAGTCCAAGTGTCATTGCAAGAAGATCTCATGATTTGTAATATCACTTTTTTCAACCTAGTAAGTGGAGGAGTGCAAGTGTTGCTATTAAGAAATAGTCATTTTAGATATTTAAATTATATTGAAAAAGATGACCTATTAAGAAATAAATATGCAGAAAAAACGATGAAAGAAATGTGATTTGAGATGGTTGAAAAAACATTTTCTGGCTAACTCAAACTGAATATTTTAAAAAATTAAATATTCAATTTAAAAGGCCTAAAAATTATATATTTATTAAAAGTTATTTTTTAAGTTTACATTATTATTTAGATTTTGTGGATAGATGGGTTCTCTAAAGTCATTTTTGAGTATGTTGATAGTGAGATAGGAACTCCTAGAAAAGGTTATTCGATAGACTTGGTAAAATGGATGGTTTAATCAAGTTTGGTCTGATCTTATGGATAATTCAAAATTTGATGACTTAGCATGATCATATTTTAAAATGAATAATAATATTTAGTCTATCATTATCTTACTTTTTAAAATGAAAAAAAAAATATACTTTAAAACACCACTTTAATTTTCAAAATTCTCGAAATGGATATTTTTTTTAAATTGGTTATAAATAAATAAGTTGTATTTTAAAATATAACTTAAAAAAAATATACTTTAAAACACCACTTTAATTTTCAAAATTCCCGAAATGGATATTTAAAAAAATAAATAATTTGTATTTTAAAATATAACTTCAAAAAGAAAAAATTGTACTTTAAAACAGTACTTTAATTTTTAAAATTTTTTGTATTTTAGGGAGATCGTATTTAAATATATGACTTTATTTTATGTTTATTGTTAATTATTATAAATAATAATAATAATAATAATAATTATTATTATAATATTATTCATATTTCAATTATTATTAATAATTATAATTTTAATCATAAATAATTATTATAATTATAAATATTATTAATTTTATTATTATAAATATTAAAATTATAAATTTATTTTTTATTATAATAAAATTAATAATTTTAATTATAATGATTATTATTTTCGTTATTATATTTATAAATTTTATTTGTATTATTATTAGTATATTTATTACTTTTATCATATTATTATTATTATTATTATTATTATTATTATTGTTTATTTTAAAAAATAATAATCATAAAAATAATAATATTAATAAATATAATAATAGAAAATTTATAATTTTATACTAATAAAAAATATAATTATAAATATTAAGATTAATAATATTAGTTATCTTAATAATTATTTATTGTTATAATTATAATTTTTATTATGCATTAAAATTATTAATAATAAATTTGTAACAATAAATAATAATAATTATATTATTATATAAAATTAAAAAAAATAAAAAATAAAGTGAAAGCATTACAAAATATTTTGAAACATAAAACAATAAAAAATAAATCTAAAATTGTGTATTAAAATATTATTTTAATTGATAAAAATGAAAAGCTTTTTCTTTTCATATTTTTAAACACGACTCACGAAATTTTTTACAAAATATCCATTTTAGAGAATTAAAAAAAAAATTATACTAATATGGTACTTTTGCCCATTCATGTGCAACTAAAGTTTCAATTTTGATAAATAACCAATACTTTATAACGTTTTTTTTTTTAATTTAGTCTCTCCCCTTTGATTAACAAAGAAAGATTGATACGAATATTGATTTTAAAACATAATTGATCATATTATAATTTTAAAAATACTTAAAAAAAATAAAAATTATATATAATACTAAATAAGTAAAAATAATATAAAATATAATAAATACAATTATTAAAAATGAAAAAAAAAACATTTTCTCTTATTTTTTCTTATTTTTTTTTATTTTATACCTTAATTCAAACAATTTTTTATTTTGTTTTTTCTTTATTTATTTATTTTCAATCTCTCATGTCTACCCTCCAATGCAAACAAAATTTAAAATCTATTATAAAAGAAAAGTGAGTGTTATGTGATGCACCATAACCACAGTTAAATCATGTGTGGCCAAAAATTATATATATTAGACCCTACCCTTAGCCAAATCTCATTCATAAATCACATTCTTCCATAAGAAGAAACCTTCGAAAGAAAATTACCATGTCTCTTGCACCTTCCACACCTCTGCTTTCCACCCAATATGCACTACCTACCATCACACGACCTTCTGTAAATTTTCCTCCAAACATTTGGGGGAATATTTTCCTTCAGTATGATTCAGAGTCACTGGTATATATTTTTATTTTTGTTCAAATACGTAGTATTTATTACTTTGTTCGAATTTTAGTGAAATATTGGTTAATATTGGCTTATTCTAGCTAGTTCCCATCCCATGCAAGAGATTCACACCGTGAGTACAAAATATGTAAATAAAAATTATACAAAGCTCAGCCATTCTTATATGAGTGAATACAGTTTTTGGATAGGTTTCAACTTCTTCTCAGAAATAAACTGCAAGTTTTGATGACTTACAATAATACGTCTTACAAGACAAGGGAAGAGGTGATAATTGAGTGAGAAAAGAGACGGTGTACATAGTGGAGGGCCTCACTGACATTGGATAAGTAATTTGGTAGAAAATAACGAAAGAAATATGCATTCTGGTACATTTTAATATGATCACAGTTACAAAAGTCAATTCAAAACTTTATTAATGTTCTAACTATCGTTTGATTGCATGCAACTATACTAATTTGCAGGAAGTTAGTGACTATGTGAAACAGCAAGCACAAATGCTGAAAGAAAAGGTGAAAACAATGTTTCAGTCATCAACTAATCAAGATATCATACAAATGCTAAATTTTATTGACTTGATCCAACGTTTGGGTGTATCCTACCATTTTCAACAAGAAATTAACCAAGTGCTGGAACAAATCTACAACACTTATATGAAAAATAACATCAGTGAAGATGATAATCATTATTCTGTTGCTCTGCGCTTCCGCTTGCTGAGACAACAAGGATATCCAATTTCATCAAGTACGTACGAAACTTTGTTATATATGCCTATAACGTTATATATCAAAATCAAAATAAATTAAACAACTATTATTTCTTGTATATATTTGTTCCATTAAATTTGCAGATGTATTTGACAAATTCAAGGATGACCGAGGAAACTTCAATGAAACACTTGCCAACGATGTTCAAGGGTTGTGCAGTTTGTATGAAGCAACACAGCTAAGAACTCACGGAGATGATATACTCGAAGAAGCATGCAACTTCTCAAATTCTCAACTTAAGTCCTTCGCCAACCAACTAAGTTCTTCTCAAGCTGCACAAATCAATCACTGTTTAAGGAAACCTCTTGATAAGATTGTACCTAGGTTTGATGCGAGGTATCACATGACTCTTTATGGACAAGATCCTTCTCATGACAAGACACTTCTGTCATTTGCAAAAGTGGATTTCAATATTCTTCAAAAATTGCATCAAAAGGAAATTATCACAATCAACAAGTAAGTCCTATTTGCCTTTAATTTTTCCCAACATTCATATCTAAATACACCACTGTACTGAGATTATCTCATAAAAAATGGAGTACATTTAAATTATCGAGGTGTAATTTCTTTCCCTGATAGGTGGTGGAAAAACTCAAACTTTGAGATAAAGGTCCCTTACGCTAGAGATAGGTTGGTTGAGTCCTTCCTTTGGTCATTGGCCATATCCTACAAACCTGAATACAGCCATGGAAGAATGTTTGTGGGAAAGTTGATAGGCGTTGTATGTCTTCTAGACGATACTTACGATGCTTATGGCACTGTTGAAGAACTTGAACTTTTCACTGAAGCAATTAAAAGGTTGATTTACTAAACAAATTATAAATTATATATATTATATATGCAATGGGAAGATGAATTTAAAATCATATTGATTTTGTTAATAATATATTTTTTATTTTATTTTATTTTAGATGGAATATTAGTCCCATTGAATCTCTTCCACAGTGCATGAAGGAAGTATTTCATTCAGTTCTAGAATTGTCTGATGAAATAGAGTTGGCGACAACGGCCAGTGGAAAATCAAGCTTTGTGGTGCCACATTTTAGAAAAGCTGTATGATAATTTCAATTTCTATTTTATTATAACTTGAATACTTATTTACAAGATTATGATTATCTTATCAATATAGTTACGACTTTTTTTCGTGTAGGTTTTTAACTTAGTAAATGGCTACATGGTTGAAGCAAAGTGGTGCCATGAGGGCTACATTCCAAAATATGATGAATACAAAGTTAACGGAATTTTCACTTCTTGTTTCCCCCTTTTCATCACAGCGTTTATTGCCTTTGGAGAATTTGCAACAGAAGAAATATTCGATTGGATTTCTAGTGATCCAAATATCGTTAAAGCTGTGTCAATTATTGGCAGAGTGTTGGATGACATGGCTTCACATAAGGTGCTGAATCATTGTTCTTTTTTTTTTTTTTTAAATTGGAGATTTTATTATGGTCATTCTATATATGACGTAACTAACAATTATTCACAATTATTATGCTCCTAATGACACTTCGTTTTGTTTTGATTAATAGTTTGAACAGCAAAGAGTGCATGTTGCCTCATCAGTTGAATGTTGCATGAAGCAACACGGCATTTCTGAAGCAGAGGCCTATCACTTCATTCACAAAGATGTGAAAGACTGCTGGAAGGTTGTAAATGAAGAGTTTCTTAAGTCACAAGATATCTCAAAGTCTGTGTTTGAATTCGTAGTTAATTTGGGACGTGTGTCTGAGCTTACATATGAAAATCATCAGGATAAATATACACATGCAGAATTACTGAAAGATTATATCTCTTTGTTGCTTCTGGATCCAATTTCCCTTGATCAAGATGAGTAATAGAAGCTATTTCATATATAAAAGAGTAACACAACAGCACTACCATAGGGTGCTATGTACTTGGAAGCATAAATAAATATGCAAGAAGTGTGGTTTGTGAGAGAAATAGTTTGTATGTTATATTTTGTGCACTGTCTGTGTGCTATTGTTTGCCTATTTATCAAAGTAATAATATGTTTAACCATTTCAATTTGGAATCAGTTTTTATCAATGATATTTTTTTAATAATCGCTGGGGGCGTTGTTTAAATAATACAATACATATAAAATGACATTCCGAAACAAAGCTCAGAAAATATGTTGAGACACATTGAACTAATCTCAAACAAAAATGAAAACTTAACTAGAAACAAAAATGAAGGAAATAATTTAGGAGAAATGTAAGTGTGAGTCTAAGTATCAGGTTGAGTAAAAATGATAAGATTCAACAATATATAAGGAAAAAAAGACTGTAATTCAATGCTTTAAAGTTATGAGTTAAAAGTGATGTTAATATCTTATACGAGTTGGATTCATGTCTTATTAATGTTATCTCTTTTAAATTAATCTTCCTTAAAAGATCCTTCTATACCTGAGATTAAGTTATTCTGAATTTTTTAAAATTATTTTTAAAATAAAAATACTTTTAAATTTTAAAATATTGATTTTGTCTCCTTACAAAAAAAAAAAAGAGTCATTAAAGAAAAGGTAGAAGAGAGAACGTGAAGGATGTAATAAAAAAAGTTGGAGAGATTGAATGATACCACCAGCACAATTAAACGATGAATATTGAATTCAATATCCATCAAGTGTTATTAAATTATATTATCATTTTATGTCGCACAATGAGTGTTAAAATACTTTTGGAGACAAACGATAATGCTTTTGGTTGTTACCTACTAATTAATTGAGCAAGATTACCTTTTAGGTACAATAAAATATTTATTAGAATCATTGGTGGCCTTCTTGTTCAAACAAATACAATATATAATGAGATTTGGGTTATTTAATTGGTTAAAGCAATTACAACAGTTAGAAGTTGGAATTATTTTTGTGAAAAGCTAGATGTATAGCTAGTGGTCAGTCTTGGCGTCTATTGGAACAATAAAATTAGATAACAATCATGACTTTCTTATTTTTCTTGCTCTGTTAACTTTTGTAAAAATAGATTTAAATATTATTCAAAGAATGCATCAAAGAGAAATTGGCAGCATCACCAAAGTCTCTTACCTTTAAATGTTTTCAATTGTCACCGCATTCATCTCCAAATATAGTAAAATAAAAGTTTTACATAATTTTTACATATTTATTAAAGACAGTTACGATTTGTCTATCAAAATTTTGATATATTATATTTTTATTCTTAAAATACATCTTGATAAATTAAGAAAAATAAATATTTTTAAATTATATAAAATTTATATAATTTATTGACTTATTCTTAAGAATTAAATTATGATGAACTAAAATTTTAAAATAAATAATATCTTTATATAATAATGAATTATAATAATAAATTTGAAATGGAGATATTCTTATGTCGAAATATGTTTTCGTAACTTTTATTTTCATTATCTCCAATTTATTCTGAAAATAAGTAATCAAGTAAAGTTGGAAGAACATCATATACAATATTCAAGTTGATATCATCATTAACATTGAAACAATTTTTTAGAAAGAATAGATAGAATGACGATTATTATTTAATGATATTCGTATATTCTACTGTTCTACATTTAGTAACAGATGAAATCGTCATTAAAATTACGTATTTAACGATGACTATATAAATGTTATTTTGATTGTTTAGGGAACATGGGTGCTGCTCAATGTCTAAGTTTGTGAAATATTCAAACGGTTGTTTCCACAGTTATATTCTTTATGATCTAAATATTATAAAAAAAAAGTACGAAATTGAAGTTTTTATTTTTTTTAAGGGTAGATGGTAACAGAATTTGATTATTTTAGGTAAAATGGGGCTGCTGCTCGCCAGATATATAAGTGTGGCAAATATTGAAAGTGTTGTTGGTCACACATTTATATTCTTTAAATACCATGTCAAATATGAGTTTGTCAATATTGAAACATATATAAATATACAATACATATGTTACACATCACATGTACTTTTGTATTTTTGGTAAACTCAAACCTTGTATTCTCTCTAATAGAAAAATTTTATGACCCAGTTAGGATTCGATATTTTTATATCAAATACATTTTAAAATGCATGAATAAAATTTCTTGAATTTTTATCATTGAAATAAAATGTTGTGACTAATTTATTACGAGAGTGATGTGATAATATTATAACTTTTAATATAAATAAAAAAAGTCATATTAATTTTTGTATTCATTCATTAACTTAATGATAAATGATATTTATTACGATTCAAATGGTGGATTTTAGAAATTAAAAACTACTACAAATAATTGTATTCTAATTAAAATAATGATAAATTTGAGTATATAAAAAATAGTTTATGATATATAATTTTTAAATATTAATATATTTATGTAATAATTAAAATATTATAATTTATATTTTATTTTAATTATTTTAATATTTTTTAAAGCACTTATTTTATAATTATTTAATATATTTTATCTATTAAAAATCGTCATAAAATATATTATATAATAATTTTAAATTTTATTAGTGTGACGTATGCCTTATATTATATTAATATTACTGTGCAAGAAAACTTCGTAACGAAGTTTTCCTCATGCATAGTAAATTTTTTTTTCTTATATATGAATACTGAAGCGGGGGAGGAGAGGAATCAAAAATTTTCCTCTCATCCTTCTTCTTCTGTTATCTAAATTTCAAGCAACGAGACTCTACTCGTGCAGGATCTGGTGAAACGGGAGAGAACCTGAATTAAGTGGGAAAGCTTCGGTAGAAATACCATACCAAGTAAGGGAAAATTTAATTCATTCAATATATGAAATTGAATTGTTGGGTACTCTGTGAATAAGGAATAGGAGCAGAGATATGAATTATTTGAACGTGTGATTTTGAAGAATGTCTAAATTTCGATGAAAGCTGTTCACGGTTTACAAGTTTTAGAAATTCTTGAAATTTAGGATGAATTATATAATAAAAGTATTGTTTTTAACTTAAATTGAACATGTTTATGGTTTAATTTTGATTGGGAACTAATTTGGGTGATTGAAACTGAGAAACTTGAAATCTGGAATTCGAAAATGGCGAACTGGAAAACCTGCAAAATTCGCTAAAGCGAAAATACGTCGCTTGAGCGAGGATACCTGGAAAAATTTGGGATTCTCGGGTTCTTTCTCGCTCAAGCGACCGATGTACTCGCTTGAGCGACTAAAGCTTCAAATAAAGGTGACCCTCGGTCAAGTCTCGCTCAAGCGACTAGTGTTCTCGCTTGAGCGACGGATGCTTCAAACAAAGGGGACTCCCGGGTCAATTATCGCTCAAGCGACTATTGTTCTCGCTTGAGCGACGATTGCTTCAAACAAAGGGAACTCCCGGGTCATTTCTCGCTCAAGCGACTGATGTACTCGCTTGAGCGACGGATCCTTCAAACAAAGGGGTCTCTCGGGTCATGTCTCGCTCAAGCGACTGGTGTACTCGCTTGAGCGACGAAGCCTTCAAACAAAGGGGACTCTCGGGTTCCATCTCGCTCAAGCGACCGGTATACTCGCTTGAGCGAGAGAAGGAAGAAGAAAGGGATATGGTAGGAATTTTTTTAAGATCAAGGGCAAAATAGTAATTTATTGATTTTGGAAATGATTTCGGAAATTATTTTAGAAAAATATATATATAAAGAGAGAGATAATGAAAGTAAAGTGTTGTGACGTGTGTGGGTCAGACTGAGCCTGAGGGCTGATGCCCAGAATCAGTCCTGAGATGTTATATATTGGCTAGGCCGAGCCGGAAGGTTGGTTCCGAGAATCGAGTCAAATACTATTTTTATTGACTCGAATGAGCCGTGAGGACAGGTGGTCCAGAATCCGGCAAATGTGAATAATTTTTGTTATGTTTGAATGGTACCGGGGTGGTACGAGTACATTAGTGTAATAACTATGTCGGAGGATTCCGAATGAGGTCCCGAGACTTCACCGATTGGTCGGGTCGGGTAGACTACGAGATCGAGGTGGTGAGAAGTCGATGGGGGGATGACCGGTGGCGCGCTCGGAGGGGTACTCCAGTATGAGTGATGAAGGGCGCCGGTAATCCTACTCGTGTGGAGGGTGGTCGAGAATGGTATTGCGGGTACCGATCACGATGTGCCCACGAGATGATAGCCTCGAGTTCGGGCATAGTTAGGGTATACTTCCGGAAGGTGTCTTAGTGTGTTGATAATTTCGTAATTGATCATAATATATAATTCTATATCTCGTTTTATTATATCGAATGATTTAATACTTACCCCTATTTTTCCATGTGGATGGGACTGCGATGATCACTTTTATGTGGGAGCGGATCGGGAGTTGAGAGATGGTGATGGGACTACTGGACAGCGAGGGATAGTTCGAGTGGGATAGCTTCGAGGGAGCTACTGTTACATGTATAATGTATAAATAAATGATGTTAATATATTTTGAAGTTCAGTTAGTGAACTGGAATTTCAATATATGTTACAATTACGATAATATAATGTAAAATAAATGTTGTTATTTACTTGTTTACTACCTTGCGAAGACATCATTATAGTAGCGATTTCTAGGGTCGTTACAATTAGAGACTTAAGAAATCATAAAAAATTATTTAAATAATATTTTTAATTATTTTACGACCAGGTTTAAAATTTCTTTAAAAAAATATTTTTTAATAATTTTATAAGTTATAATTAAGTTGTTTATTTTATTTAAAATTATTTAAAAGTTTATGATGATTTTAATAATAGTTTTATCGTCATAAAAAAATTAATAATCTAAATATATTATGTAAAAATAACTCAAAACTAACTTATTTAATCTAAAAAAACTTAATAATATAATTTTACAAATTACTTAACAAAATGTAATTAAATAACCAATGCAACAAAA